TATGTATTGCTCATCATAGTCTCAAATATTTCTTTATAACAATGTAAGAGACTTTTATAAACATCCAATTTAGGTTTTTAACAACTATTAAACGTTCAGTTTAATAACAACAAAAAAAAACATCACTAAAGTAGAGAACCGGTGAGTAGCTTAAAAACCAAATGTTCTACTGATTATTCTGATACTGGCATTAGAAGGGCTAGCTCACCAAATCTTGAAGTTGTTGTGATGATCTACATATCAAAATGTTGCATTTTAACTGGTGGGAGTACAGATGTAGTATAGCGTTTCACTAACTTCAACACATGATGCCCATAGAGACAACTCATCAAGCCAGGCTGTCTTCATAGTGACTGCCATTCGTTATAAAATATTCATTGGTATTGATTAAAAAGAGGGGAAAACAAGTAATAAAAACAATTTTGAAAAAAAAAAGGATGATGTAGGGATGACAATGCCAAAATGTACAGAAAAAAAAAGATAGGGATGAATACACAAAACCATAAAAACCTCCCTACATAACTAGCCACTGAGTCAATGTTACAAACTTATGGGAATTGGCCATTGTAACTGTATAGCACTATTCAGTTTAAATGTTTTTATTCAAACCTGTATTCGTGCAAGTAAAAGAAATTGAACATTTAGTTGCAGGTAAAAGTTTTTCTTGGAAAGATTTGGCTACTTATGTATGGATTTATGTATTAATCACTACACTGTTTCTATGTTGTTGTTTTTTTGCCATTGCCATCCCTACACCATCCTTATTTCTTTCAACTTTTTTATTTATTGTGTAACTCATTATATAAGCTTTACGTGACTTTTATTGAGCCCCCTAGTGGCACAGCGGCATGTCTACGGACTTACAATGATAGAAACCGGGTTTTGTTATAAGTTGTTCGGGTTTTTCATCTAAAATGAATCGACATTACTTTCTTGACGACCTAATATTATGAAGTGACCGTAGTGGATGCGAGTTGTTGTGGATAATATGATAATCTTAACGTAATCTGGAATGGATATCAAAACCTTATTTCAAGTAACTAACAGAAAAATAACAGCTGTGTTTCCAAATTGAGTTAAACTCAGGTTGTGAAAGAATGTACCTGTCTCAAGGTACCAGTTGTTTTAATATTCTCACTTTGCGTTATCGATAACTGGTGGTGTTAAAAAGATATTTCTCGATTATTTAATATCTCAAAAGTGCGTTTAAAAATCCTTCATATTAATTTATTGTATAGAACTGTGCATTTTATTTTATTTTATTGTTAATAGCGCTGAAGAATTGTGTAGTGTAAATACATGTGTGTGTGTGTGTGTGTGTAAATTACTTGATGAAGTTGTGTGGATGGCTCTTTAATGTCGGTGACAGCGCCACCAATAACGGTTTCGGTGGTGATTCGTCAACCCAGTCCAAGGACGCCGAAATTCAAGGTTTGGTACCCAACGTTTACGTCTATAATAATGATGATTGCTCGTCAGGGCTACTGGAAACAATGGTTAACGCTCTTCAACAGCCTGGTGTCAAACGGGTTACGATTTATATCAGCAATATGTATCTGCGTGTGCAAAATAACCTGAACTTCGATAAGGAAATCAGCTCCTGTCCGGGTTGTCGTGGTCTTTTTGCTTTGGCCGGACAAACAGATTCGCAAGGACCTCCAAACGAAACCATCTTTGTGGCCCTGAATGGTGTGATCAAGTACACATTACGTCGTGTTGGAACTGGAGTTTGTAAAGCTTACTTCTCGTGGGCTTGCCCCTGTTAACCCGACGAAGTGTCAGATGAAGATTACCCCGATTCCAAATATTATCGTCACTCCGCATTAATCCTACACGTGAAATCCACAAGTTTTGATTTTCCAAGTATTTTGATGTTTTTTTTCCATATTCTGTTAAGATGAAATAAACCAAATGTATTTGCATAAATAGAAAAGTACATCTTTTCAATATTTTCTGGTAAAAACTAGGTGATCAAACCCTGTTATTACTATTTTTGTACTTTCTCGAGGCTTATCGTGTTTATATTTCGGATTTTACAGAATATTTTACTTCTGATCAGATTGCTGGCATGTTTTACCTAAACACGATTTCTATCTACACTATTTCTAGCGACTCCGGACATACGACCAGACCCAGCATGTGTGAATTGCTGCTGTGAATCTGGAAAACTTTCTTTAAACCTGAAAGACGGTACCGTTAAGGGGTCAGTTAAAGGTATGAAAGTCATTGATAAGAAGAATGAACAAGTAAACTCGAAATGCGAATGTAAAATGTATGCTAAAGTTCAAGTAAATTTTACTCGTCTTGAATGCGACTACTGCTTGACAAGTCCAGCATGTGGTCGAAAAATGTTGAAGATTGATTTGATATTAGACGAATACTCTTCCGCTAGACTAAGAAAGGAAAGTTCGAGAACCTTGAATATGGCAAGTAAAGTAATTCACAATAACTAATGTAACTTAGTTAATGATAGCTTGATACTAGTAAATAGTGTAAACACTAGTAATTTATAACTTCAAAGTAGGGAATAAATAAGAAGATGAAATACATTCATTTGTAGTGTAAGATGTTGAATAAACGTAGCTTCTCGGTAGTTATGTTATCTAACACTTTGTTATAGTTAAGGATGTTACAAGAATAGCTAATATAATTCCGTAAATTTTAGGTGATAATGTTTGTATAGAAATGCTTCTGACTAGAGATGATAAATTAATTTGTTCTATACTTCTGTCAGTAAATAGAACTATAAGGCAACATTATCTTTACTTTCATTAGCTCTGTTGTTAATTTAGGTTGAACTGATGATAATTGAACAAAGGTAAATTTATTAGTGAATAGCCCTAGCAGGATTACATAAACACTTCTCAGACCTTTTGTTTGATAAACTTTGAGATGGTCTCCAATAAACTATTGTGAGCTTTATCCCTGTTTTTTCTATGTTATAAACGATGGTATGGATTATTTAAAAAGTGGAAACCTTCAGAAATGTTGCCTTCATTTTGTACTCTATCGTTAAGCATGTAGAGATAAATTATAACTCGCGTTTTCATCCAATAGTCGTCTCTTTCTGTTAGAGAATCTATCATTGTGACGTAGAAGGATCGTTGTTTATTTTCCACGAAACTTGCTATTTAAAAGATTACATTTCTGTAAACACTATATTTAAATTAACGTTACTTATTTACTCATCATTCTGTGAGGTTTCTTATGCTTTAGAGCAGCTAAAGTTAACCTTACCTCCACTGGCCACAGCGAGCAGTATTAGAACGATGGTAACAGTGATCATGGTGGTTTCTCGATGAAAGTTGAATCTGTCCCTCGTCTTGTAGAACGTGTTGAAAACAAGCTCAATAATATTTCAAACTTTCTATCTGTCTCTGAGATGACACAACAGCTTGTTAATAAAGGGTTACAAGGAGCACGTGTCCAAACATTCCTACATACTTTCATAGAAACCAGCCATAAACAGAGAACAAAGGTGCGGATGGCGAGATTTTGTAATTAGGACTTTGACCAATAGGTGGTATAGTTTTACTGTAATATATCTAATGTATTGAGTACAAACATTACTTCTGTTACAACGATGTTAACGTTATAAGATCAAATGGATACATTTTGTTTGTTTATTTGTTCTTTTTTTTTTACTGGCATCAACATTACTGAATTACAGGTAACAATGAACGTTTCACAGATACAGTTAAAACCTAGAAGAAATATGTTAGCAAATGTACCCATAACATTTTATATACGATTATCTATTGTATTTGAAAATATTAAAAGCGACATTTACATATACCAAAAAGAACCAGGCATTAAATGTCGTAAAGTCCCCAATCTTCGTGTTCTCCACCAAAGCGACATCTACATCCAGTAGGAAGATCCAGACAGCAAATGTCGTAAGGTCCCTACTTTTTCTGAGCTTCAGCAAAGCTACATATAGACAGACCCAACAAGGATACCCAGTGGTGCAGCAATAAGTCTATGAGCTTAGATACGCTAAAAACCGAGTTTCGATACCCGTGATGAGCACAGTACAGATAGCCCATTGTGTAACTTTGTGCTTAACCACAACCAAATAAATGTATTTTCTATTCGCTCTAATGAATCAGTGATCTGGTCTGTAAAATGTTCAGGCGGCAAACTTTAACGACCAGAAACAAACCAATAATTGAATCCTTTAGTAACAAGATAATGTTGTTTATACTTTTCAAACATGTGGTTTTGAATCAGTGATCGTGTCTGTAAAATGTTCAGGCCGCAAACTTTAACGACCAGAAACAAACCAATAATTGAATCCTTTAGTAACAAGATAATGTTGTTTATACTTTTCAAACATGTG